CCAGCAGGAAAATGTGCCCAGTACCAGCTAACCTGCACACGCACTCCCATCCCTGCTGTAACCTCCCTACAAAGGAGCACACACAAACCCCAGCACAGAAATAAACACACCACAGCTGAGAGGAAATTCTGGAAGTGCTGCCTTACACTCCAGCTGGGCTCTGCCTGCTTCTCTCTCAAGAGGTACACTCATTTGGATCACCCAGACCTGATCACCTAACCAGCTAACTTTCMTGAAGTTATATAGGCAACAACCAACTTTAGCACATTCGAACAGCCTTGTTTCCTTAGGAATCTAGGTTTGAAAAATAAAAAATGATCACAAGTCTGACGATACACSCAGACATTAGCACAAGTTGTCCCTGCATGGCAGGAGAATATTCACTTATTCAGATYCCCATGACAGAAAAAAAGGAGCGAGTAATAGCCCCCCAGAGACCTGAGGAGTATGGKGTGTGTCTTGGGCTCTCAACAAGATGTATCTCCTTCAGCAGAAAGCTCAGAGGGGAATTGCTTAACACACTTTTTATTGTGACTCTTTTTACTACATAGGTCACTACAAAAAGCTTGTTGATCATAAGTAAATAGTAGCCATCATAAATCTTGTTAGCCTCTTTAAATCATTACCATTACCCTCATCCTCAAAGTAGAATAAGAAGTGTTGCTCATACTAAATATTGGGAGAAATTCTAGTTATCAAATGATGGAGACATCTTGTACAGAGAGAAAAAAAAGAGACAAAACTAGAAGGGAGACTTTCCCTTTATGTTCCCCCAAGGAAAACACAATGCTGTGAGGTGCCTCCATTACACATTCCCTGTTTAAAATTCTAGAGTAAACACTGTATGAAAGTAATATTAATCATTCCAGAAAATAAAAAAGCTGGAGGGAGTACTTTCCAGGACTTACTGGTCTTGTTGAGATACCAAGACAAATCAAGAAAGCCGTGGAACAACTGGAGCAAGGCCTCCAGGGCAGTCGGGGCTGGAGCACTTGCATTTGGGACTGGAGGAGATGCTGTGGGAGCCCAGGCTTGGTCAGCCTGGCATAGGGAAGGCTCCAGGCCACCACAGCTGCCACATGCCAGCAGGAAGGGGATTGAGAAGATGGATCCAGGCTCTCTGTGTGGTGGGAGGAYGAGAGACAATGGGCATAAGTTAAAAAAGGGGAAGTTCACACTGGATGTACAGAAAATGTTTTCCACCACGAGACAGTCAAGCAGTAGCACAGGCTGCCCCAAAAGGCTGAGTTGTCTTCACCCCTGGAGGTTTTCAAGACCAAGCCCTGAGCACTTGGTCTGAGCTCAGAGCTGTCCCTGCTGTGWGCAGGAGGYTGGACAGGGGCCTCCTGAGATCTCCTCCGGCCCAAGTTACCTTGTGGTCCTGCCAGTTCAAGGAAGCACACTGCAGGGACACAGGATTCTCCACTGAGGTTACATTTACTAACGTTTCCCTTCATATACTCTCAAGATAATGAAATAACTGACTTAGTCYTGCTGAGACTCATTCGAACAGTATTCTGGCTGGTGCCTTTCCAGCACAGACAAGCATCACCTCTACATCATCATGACCAGGAATCAGTACCAGAACATGCTCACACACAGACTGCAATTACCTCTGCTCTACCYTCCTCCTTTAACAGTGAAGAAAGACTGCAAGAGGTGCGTCATGGGCCAGCAAACAGCAAAGGAGCAACCATGAAGAGACACAGCAGTTGCAGAAGTTAATGGAGCTACTGATAAGTCTTTGAAAAGAGAGCCACATTTTGAATTATTAAAGCAGTCAAACCTTTAATGAAGTCGGTTATAGACTCATCATAAGGCTACAGGAAACTACCAACTGGTTCATCAGCACAGGAATTTTTAAGTAGTGTTCAAGCCCTGTAATTCAAGCACTTTTTATTCTACATTTGTGGAGTGCTAAAAACCACAATTTACCTGTGCAACACCACATTTAACTGGTAACTGAGCTCACATCTTTGTGAAATACAGTTGAGACAGTCCTATCTCAAACTCCTAAACTTCTGAATCCTAGTTAACTTCATATTGAACATTAACATATAAAATTGGCATTGAAGATCATTTGTCTAAAGCAAAACAACCATGGACTAAAGCCCAACACTGGCTTATAAAATGGATGGGCTCAGAAGTTTCTGTGCTATTGTGTCAGAAATCCTACCAGTAATATTTTGCTTAAAAGTGACTTCTTTTATATCTAGCAGGATACATGGGCCCATGAGATTAACCTGATTTAYAGGGAGTACTTTCAGATTTCCCAAGCAGCACAAACAGCATGGATACAAATTTTCAGGCAGATTCGATGAACAAGTTCACCTGAACAGGGAGACTCAAACTGTACCTCTGTTTCCTAAAATATTTTTAAAAGAACCCTCTGAAAGGTCTACTCACTTTACCAGATGTAATGCAAATCTTTGAGAAGTGAGTCAAACAATGACTCCAGAGAAGTATGTAGGTAACTAGATGGGAGAGAATACACTCCAATACTCTTGACAGACGACCTTGAAAAGGATAAGACTGGGAAAGCAAAAATCCCAAAAATCTGTTGCAACATAGGAAAAAGACTTAAAAAGACTCTTCTGAAACTTTTCAAAGACTCGGTAYATGAAGCCTGACCTTCTTTGCTCTTCCTGGAAGACTTCTGGAGAAGGCTCAGGTGTTTCCCTGTTCTGACAGGTTGATTGAAGGGGCACASTCCTTCAAGGACAGTTTTAAAAGAGCTGATTCACACACATGCAGAAAGCAAGAAACTGGAAGTGGAAGAGGTAAGGTAGTCCAGCTAAAAGTCCCTTCTCTGCTCATCTTTTCAGCAGCTCCATTCTTGCAGAGTCATTATTTCACTAGTTATTCAACCATTACATGTTCACTTTAGAAATTTGGCTCACTTCCGTCTACACTTCAAATACACAGAAAAATGATTTCTCACAGAAACTTTTCTGTCCCTCCTTAGTTTTAAGACAATGAAGACAGCAGAGACTAATTGCTCTGGGTCTTCATTTGGCACAATGTTTTGTTAAGCTGACCTCTCACATTGTTATACTTTGGTCTACTCCTTCATTACACTCASATTGAGCCTGTCAACCACAGCAAAAAGGAGGATACCCTCCTCCTTAAGGCAAAGGACTAACAGAACTGGCTCTGAGAGTCTGAGGCTCTGTTCCCAGCTCCCTTTATAAGCCTGGGCTAGAGTAATGTGCAGCTGCATTTCTGCCCTATGCAAATCAAACAATTTAAATGTACACTCYGTGGATGTAGAAAGCATTTGACAGCTTTTTAAGGAAGCCTTCCCCAAGCTTGCCTTCTACACAGAGGAACAAACCCAAATGGTCTTTAGGGGCAGAAGGAAGAAGATGGACTACAAAGTGCTTGAAAAGCTTGGGAGGGGGAGGTGTCCTGTTGTTTTAGGAAGAGATAAGGTTCTTGRTAACAGAGTCACTGCCTGTAACATGTTAGTGCCCACCTGCTTCAGTCTTGTTGCTGTGGCACAATACAAACCAAGCAGTCAGGAAAAAGCAAGAACAGCCCAGCCTGAGCTGAAGTGTGGGAGGAACAAAGAGAGGAGAAACAGGTGATTCCTGYCCACAGCTTGCAGGTAGCATCTACRGCTTGGTGGAGCAGAAGAGCTTGGTGGTGCAGAAAGATGACAGGAGCAGGGACACATGTGACTTCAGTGGCATGGCCTTGCCAGGACACAAAGCAGCCAAAGGACATGTGCAGTCACAGGAAGAACAGGGAGCCAGAGGTTACAGTATTATTAAGATACATTGTACAATACAAAAGCAAATCTTTTACTGGTAGAAGACTGCTAATAAGGCATTTAAGAGCTCTTTCCACAATATAAGAGGAAAGAAAGAACGAAGAAGTTCCATGACAGCATAGGTGTACTAACCTGGAAGACAAAAATCCTCATAAACTCACTATAAGATAAAATGATAATCTTTTTTTTTTCTCTTTTTTTTTTAAGAAATAAACTTGAGGTAGGATCTGGACTAACAGAAGGGCAGAGATAAAAGACAAGATGAGGAAGAAGGGAAGTATTTGGAAAACCACAAGGAGAGACAGCTGAAGTGTTTCAGAACTCTGGTTACAAAGTGCTCTCAAAACGTAAAAACCTCATTGAATTCACTCGTTCTAAACCTTCCCAAACCCTAAACTCAGAAGGAATGTGCACACCCTTCTGGCATACCTGCTCCTTTTCCATGAGGTGTTCTGGAAGAGTCAGGGGTGACATAACACGATCAACACGGATATTCAGTACTTTACAGCTACTGAAAAGCAATCTGCAGCCCACGACTCTGCTTTCCAAAATCACTAGAGAAYGACCATTTGGGTATATAAGTCCACCCAAACGGTAAGCTCACCCCGAAGCCTACCAAAGTTCTGCTCGTATGAATCTCAGGTATCTCGCACTCTCGACTTGAGGGACTCGGGAACGGTTCTGCTTCAAAGCACAGCCCTGCCAGYCTCCCTCCTCTCCCAAACCCTCAGCTGACGGTCCCCAGCACCGACCGGCTGTRTCAGCCGTGACTGAGGGCTTCCAGCTGATGGCGAGGGCTGAGACACGACTCCCACTACTCCCGTTCTCCCACAGCATCTCCCGGGGCTGCAAGCCCCGGTCCCCCTCCATCGCCGGAATCAAACTTCGCGGTCACTCCGCAGCGGCGGGTTATGCCGGCACCTCCTTGGGAAGGGATGAAGAATTCCAGCAGGGAAGCCGGTGGACTCCCCTGCTCTCCCCGCGGTTCCAAGGCACCGGCGTGACCTTGCTGGAGAGTCTTGGGCCATGCGGCAGCCGAGTCTGCCCGGTTGCGGGGCTCGGGAGCGCGGCGGCCAGGTCCCCGCACCGCCCCAGGCACGCCYCGCTCACCTCCAACCGCTCCTCACTGCCGCTGCGAGGCCGGAGAGCTCCAGGTCCGCCCGCTCCCGCCGTCCCCGGGCYGCCCGGCCGCGGCCTCACCGGCCGGCCGCGCTCCGGAGATACTCACCGGAGATACTGCGCGCACAGCAGGCTCATCCTCCGCCGCTCGCCGCCCGTCCCGCCGCGGCTCTCACAGCCCGGGCCGGCCCGC